TTACATGTCTCTTGCCTCCCTTGACCCTCATGACAAACCATGAGGTCACTGGAGTGGGTGTTGTGTCTTATGACCTTCGTTTTCCAGATTTGAGAACTTGAAGCCCAGAGAGACAGAGTCTTGCCACTGGTCTTTTAGGGGCCCAGACAACTGGGTACTTTTGAAGGACTCTGTGGCCAGCAGTAAAGGTTTTCCATTTTCTTATTGCACTTGGAGTGGGCCCAGCCTTGAGGTCCTTCAGGAGCCTGGGGTGCTCAGAGTTAACACGTGCTGCGTGTTCGCTGGACACTCATGTCAGCACTTTGCATGTGTTGACTCTAGCCATCCTCACATCCGCTGTCTGAGGTGAGTATTATCATTATCCCCATTTCACAGATGAGGAACTGAGGCTCAGAGAGTTTAGGTGTCTTTCCAGAGTCACATGCGTGGTCAGCGGAGGAGCCAGCATTCAGTCCCATCAAGCTGCTCCAGAGTCTGCCTTTCAAGGCAGGAGTGGTCCCCGTCTGGCTGTCAGGATGCTTTCAGTTGTCCAAGGGCAAGACAAATGAGCTTATTCCCAGGCCTCGAGTCAGTTTTGTTTTCTTCCTATTTTAGAGATCCGCTTCTGTAAAGTCAGTCAGAGATGGACTTCCCTAAAGTCTGTCACACGTACCCATTCAGCTCCTTGTATGTTGGGACCCTGCTAAGTGCTGGAGCATCCAGAGATGATTAGCATTTCGTTCTTACCCTGGAGTCTTCAGATGAGATGCTGGGTCACAAACAGAGGGAAAGGTTGTGCTGGGTCAGTGGAAGTGTCAGTCTCACCTGTGGGGGAATCAGGAAAGGCTCCATCAAGGAAGCGGCGTTTAAGATGAGCTTAGAAGTGTGACCAGAAGTTCCTTAGACTAACACGGAAAGAGACTGAGGCAGTCCAGGTGAGCTGCTAGAAACTCTGAGCAGTAAATGGGTGGACCCCGGGAGTGTGACAGTGAGCGAGGCCAGGGAGCAGCGGGTGGGGGGACCACCTGGGCTTTAGGAGGAGGGCATGAGTGAGGGCAAAGCTTCCTGGGGTGTTGAGCTGGACAGGGAGAGGAATGAGGGAGGAGGAGAGGCTTCTGGGTTTGAGGGAGAGAGAGGTGGGGAGCTAGACTTCATCCCACTAGGAAGATGGTACTTGAAAACCCCACAAGGTGAGAGGAGCTGAGGGCTCAGGGGAATGTGTTTCTGTCATTCCTGTGGCAGTGGGAGTGTGGTGTGGTGTGGGGAACCCAGCGAGTCTCCTTACAATTCAGGTGGAGCTGGCTAGAGGGAGGAGGGGAGAGATCTGAGCAGGTGATGGATGAGGTCTTGGAGATGGATCAGTTCCCATGGGTAAGTGGGTGCCTCGTGACCACGATGCCTGCCGTGCAGGGGCCTTCCCAGGGCTAGAGCAGAATCGGTCCAGGAGGGCCAAGGTGCGCGACCCCGGGCTGCCATCACCCTGGATGAGGGCGAGAAGTGTTGGGGCCCGAGTGCCTTGGCTCCTTGGAAGAAAATGATGCCTGAAGGAGACGTGTCCACTCCCTCTTCCTCCATCCCCTGCCCCTCTCTGGACTCAGACTGACTGGAATTCCTAACTCTTGATCTTTCTAGCTGTGTAGACTTGGTTATGTGACTCTGAGTCCCGATTCTTAAGTCTGTGAAATGGGGAGAAGGATTGTGTCTTTCTTGCCCAGGAATTGTGAGGATGAGAGGAAGTTAACATGTCGACTGGCAGCTCAGTGTCTGGCACATGGTAAATGCTGAACGAATCATAGCTGCCCTTAAAACTGTTACTGTCTTCCCAGGTGACCACCTGCCTCCCCACCCCCTCAGACCTTTACCTTCCCTCCGGTTGAGTGGGTGTCTGAGCCTCCTCCTCCGTCTCTTTACCCTGAAGGGCCTCTCGCCGTGGGGCTCCCTCTTTGCCTGGCTTGTGGCCCACACAGCCTTTTGGCCTCCGGGAGCCGGCAGCTTTGCCCTGGCTGAGCTCTGTCACCGTGGTGGGGCCTGCCATCTGGTGGGGCAGTGGGGAGCCAGCCTGTGTGTGTGTGGCCGGCCAGAGCATCAGACCCAAGTGCCCATCCCTCTTGTTTGTTAGGACAAGTTGGAGGTGCCTTTTGCGAAGCCCGAGGCCTCAGAATCTGCCTCTAATGTGTTTATAAGCCAGAGGCCTGGTTTACATCCGACCCCTCCCTCCACACACCCACACTCGCATCAGCTCCCTCCGGAGCCCTCTTGTGTTGTTCACAGCCTGCCCACACTCCTCCCCGGCAGGGCCCCTGGCAAGTGTATGCTTTGGGGCTGGTAGCTTTCGCCTCTGAATCCAGACCTGTGAGTGTCACTTAGAAATTGTGCAGGAGTTGAAGAGGCTTCTGTTAGGCTGAGATGGTAATTGCGCTATTTAAAGACGGTCGGGGAGCCAGGAGGAGCCAGACACCCGACATGGTTGTCCTCAGGCTCCCTTCTGCTCACTGTGCTGGTGCAGGTGGCAGGGCCAGGGGCACGAGGTCCCAGACAGTCATCTCAGGGGCGTCTGCGTGGCGTCTCCCTCTGGGCTCACCTTGTCTGCACGTTTTATGTGATGCCATTTCTCCAGGGAAAAGTGGATTGGCTACCTGGCTCCTGGTTTGCAGGGAGTCTGGGAAAGGGCTGGAACCGAAGCCAGTTTCTCAGTTGCCAGAATGACCGGGAGGATTGGTTGGACCAAATAGGCAGCACATCACCGTGGGTAGCCTGAGGTCCCAACCCCTTTCCTGTAAGGAGCCGTTAAAACCCCACCCAGAGGCCCGCCTTTGCCCGCTGCTGAGGGAATTCATACTCCCCTACAGTCGTGGGGTGCTTTCTGCTTTTCCAAGCTGTGTTTACTCACGATCTCATCCTTCTGAGGTGGGCTCAACAAGGGTCGTGCGTTCTGTCTTAAAGCAGAGGCTTCAGTAGGTCATGACAAGCCCGAGGTCACCCAGCTGGTTAGAAGTCCCAGCTCTGGGCTCCCTCTTCTGCTGCACTGCCTGGAGGTGGGCTGGACTGGGTCCGTGAGCTCCTGAGCACACTCTACCCTTCTCCCAAGGACAGCCTCTGCCACAGGGGGCCCCTTCCCCAGAAGGGCCTTCTCTTCTGCTTTCTCATTTCTTCTTGGGGATGGGGGCATGGGAAGGGATGAGGGCCTGGCTGTTGATAACTTGGAGAGGTCTGGTGGGGCCAGTGAGGCCTTTCAGCCTCACAGGTTGGAACTTGTCAGGTGAAGGGGCCTGGGCACAGCTGGTGGGAGAATCAGAGGAATTGCTCATCAGTGAGATGGCAGCTCTGGCCAGACTGGGGTAGCAGCCCCTCCCATCTGCTCCCAGCTGCTCTGTGGGGCAGGGATGTTGGGGTGGGCAGGGTGCAGACCAGAGTGCTACTTTTCACCTCTTGGGACCCTGCCCTCCACAGTGGCTGTCCCGCTTGGGGCAAGGATCCCTGCGTCAGTTTTGTCCAGTCTCTGTGACCGGGGACATGTGTATATCCCAAGTCTCCTTGTCCCTGTGTCTGCCCGTGCACATGTGCGGGTGTGAGTGTGCGAGTGTGGGCGTGTCCCCGTGCCGCCTGACCTGCTGGCCCCTCCTCTGGGAATGGCTGTGGCTGTGAGCTGGGGGCTCTCGGCCCGGTGCTCTAACTTTGATCCAGGCCCACCCCCCATTCCTCCCCAGCCTCACTCTGGCTGACCCCATTTCTGGGGGTGGGGGAATGAGGGGATGACAGGTGGCTTCAGGTAGAAGAGGCCTGGCTCTTTTTTGGTTCCCCTGCTGAGTTCAGCCTGCCACAGGTGAAGGGCTGCCCGGGTGTGACTTCCCAACTCACACTGGATCCAGATGCCACCTCTTCTCTCCCTGCCCCTCCCAATATGCTTGTGGCCCAGTCTGCCACCTGAGAGGTGGACAAGAAGCTGTCCCTGTGTCTCCCAAGTGGGGAGAGGGTGGGGAAGAAAGGGAAGCACCGTTTATGGGGCATCTCCCGTGTGCCCGTCACTGTGCTGGGTGCCTCACCTCTCATTCTGATGCAACAGGGGTTCTGAAGACAGCTCCATCCGAAAACCGATTCAGGTGTTGGCTTCCAGCAGTGAGCAGGGAGGTTGGAAGCCGAGCCGACGGCAGGCAGAGAAATTCCCAGCTGTGTGCTGCCTTCCTCAGTTCGCCTTCCTTTGCTGCGACCACCAGGCTTCCCTGTGCCAGGCTCCCGGCGTTACTGCCAGGCTGTGCTCATGCTGCCCACCTTAGCGGGTGCCTTCTGGCAGTGCCCGCTCTGGTCAGTTACGCGGAGGGAGAAGATTCCCCGCCACGAGCAGGGGACCCCCGTACGGCAGCTCTGCCCTAGGAGAGTGACTTCCCCACCCCCACATCACCCCTGGGTTCCTTCACATCATTCGGTCCCTGCTCCAGCCCAGAGCTGGCAGGTCATGAATTCAGAATGGAAGGCACTGTCTGCCCGGTTTCAGGGGTTGGGGGTGATTTGAGCCAGAGCCTTCCCCCTAAAGGATGTGCAGAAAGCCCTGACCTGCTCCTCTGCCAGTAGGAGCTACTCTGGCCCTGTTTCCTGTGACCCAAGTAGTCCGGCCTGCAAGGGACTCATGCCCACTAAGAGCCCCTTAACCCCGTCTGTGCTTGCCTTGGCCTGGATGTGGAGGAGAAGGCTATGAGGGAGGGGAAGGGTCGGAGACCCTGTGTCCACTCCTCCCACTCTCCCAGCCCCAGGTCTCAGGAGGACTCTGGGCAGCCTCTGGCTGCTCCCTGGCTGCTTACTGAATCATTTCTATATTTGGCCAGCAAGCCACGTGGGTGGAGGAACCACTCCACTGCGGCTGCACCTCTGACAGCTGAGGGTGGGGGAAGCGGGAGACAGAGGCTACAGCAGTGGGCATGTGTCTTTCTTGGGAGAACCAAGGAAGGCACCGTCTTGAGTGAGTTAAGCCCAGAGAAGGGGCGTACGCCAACCCCCACCCCGTTCTGATCCAGGTCCCTGCCTCCTCTCCCCTCACCCACCTCCTGCTCATCTGGTCCTCACAGCACTCTCTTCTCCCACAGACCCCTGCCCTCCAGAAACAATGGTTGTCGCTGGACCCAGCTGGGACTCTGCCAGGCTCCAGTGCTCAGTCTAAGCGAAGGGCCCACTTCCAGCCCTGCTCTCCCTGCCTGTCATGGCCACACTCAGCTGCTGCCTGCTTGTCTGGGGACACAGGGCCCCCAGCCCCAGCCCCGAGAGGTTAAGCCAGGCCCTCCAGCTCCATTCCACAGGGGCGCTCTGGGCACCAGGCCCCTTTCAGACCAAGAGCAACTGATGCCACAGGCAAAGCCCCTGCCCACCTGTTCCCTCATCTGGCACTGCCTGCTCTGAGACCCATGCGCTGGGTCCCCTTGGAGGTGCCAACCCTGTGAACCCCTCCCCTGTCCCCTGACTCTGAGAAGGCCCTGCCTACCCCCACCATGTGTGAAGTGATGCCCACAATCAACGAGGGGGACCCCCTGGGGCCTCCCCATGGCACCGATACTGACGCCAACTTTGAGCAGCTGATGGTAAACATGCTGGATGAGCGGGAGAAACTGCTGGAATCCCTTCGGGAGAGTCAAGAGACTTTGGCGGTGACACAGAGCCGGCTTCAGGATGCCCTGCATGAGCGGGACCAGCTCCAGCGCCACCTTAACTCTGCCCTCCCCCAGGTAAGGCCCGATGGTCCATACCACCCTCCCCTTCCCTCACCCACCTGGCACCCTCTAGGCCCTCAGCTCTCTGCATCTGTTGGCATATCGACAAATGGGATTCGCAGAGAATTTCCTCTCCTTCACCTCGCTTCATGAAACCTTTCCTTGTCGTTCCCAAACGCCTCCACCTGGTACTGGCTTCACCTGGAGAAAAGGATGGACTTTGGTGTAGGGATGTAATCCAGCCTTAGTGGCCAACTGCAGTGAGCCCACTGGGCCAGCAGGTGGCACCCGAGACTGGAAAGACATCTCCGCCCTGGCGGCTCCTCACTGGTGCCCTATTCTTGGATGTCGTGGGTGAGGAGCCACAGAGAGTGGAGCCGGGAGAAGACTCAGAGATAATCTAGTCCACCTCTCACTGCACAGATGAAAAAAAAAAACAAGAGGCATCACATGGAAAATTACGGGCAGAGCTGTGACACCTGTCTCATTCTCCGCAGTCAGCGCCACCACCGGCAGTAACAGTCACCATTCGCTGGGTGTCTCCTGCGTGCTGAGCGCTCTGTCTGGGATTTACCTCCCTGAGTTCTCACCGCTGTGAGGCTGGTGCTAGTGTCACCATCACTGGGGGAGGCAGCCCTGGGGCCAGACCATGCAGGACTCGGCTCCAGGCCCTCCCCCCACACGTGGGGAGAAGGACCACGGTGGGCGGGTTTCCTACCCAGGGCTCAGAAGTGTTTGGGGGAAGGGGGCAGAGTCTCATGATGCTTTACAGACAGGAATTGGGGTGGGATGTGGCCCCGTCCTACCGCACTGTGTTTTGGGCCCTGACCAAGCCCTGGGATGAAAGAGCCAGTCCCTGCCCCTGGGGAGTTCACACACCGGGAAGGAGACAGACGACAACTCACAGGCCTGGAAGAGAGTGTGGAGGAAGGGAGGCTCCCAAAAGGGCTGTTAAAACAGTGTTCACTGTTAAAGTAGCTGCCAGCTCATTGGTCCTCGTGGCCGCCCTTGAGGGAGGACTGTACGTCTGTCTTTAAGATTAGAGGTTCAAAAGGCTAGATTTCTTGTCCAAGGTCACACAGGTCATGGGGCAGAGCTTAGCCCCGCACTGGGAGCTCTGTGAGGGCAAGGGTCATGCCTTTCTTGTTACTGTGTCTCCAGTGACCAGCACGGCACCTGACGCACGGTAGGTGCGCCCAGTGTTTGTGGTTAAGCGATGGGCTCCCAAACTGGTGTTCTTAACCGCTGCTCCAAACAGCTTTCAGAGGAGAGAGAGCGAGCCTCCCGCTGGGAAGTCTGGAAGGTCCCAAGGAAGCAGGCCCTCTGCGATGGGCTTTGAAAGATGGGCGTGATTTCATCAGGCGGGGACAGGGGACTGGGTTTTCTCGGGGGCGGGAGCCCTTTGTGCAAAGGTGTGGAATTAAGAAGCTTACTAGTGACTGAAACAGCAGGTGACCCGCGTTGACCAGGTCTTCAGGTGTCGGAAAGGAACCATGAAAGAGAAGCTTGAAAAGCAGGATACGTTTACATGTGATGGCGTAGCCAACATTGTGCTTCGGGGAGGGGACCCTGGCAGCGCCGTGTCAGAGGGGTCAGAGTTGGGGAGGAAAGGGGGAGGCATCCTGGGGTGGGCAGACCAGGCGGCAGCTGAGCCTGAGGACAGGGGAGGAGAGAGTGCCAGACCTTTGATGGTGGTGTCGTGGTATAGGGTGGGGGAGTGCCATCGAGTCCCGTGTCGAGGTACAAACGTGCGTGTGTGTGTGTTCACGTGTGTGAGCTGAGTAGGGAAGCGGCACTGGGGCCGGGTTTGGCCTCCAGGCCGTGAGTTGCTTGACCACCTTTGGCCATGGCCTTGGCAGGAAAGCAGTAATCACAAACACAGTCAGAGGTCTGAGGCTTCTCAGGCTCTGGCATCCTGTGTCCCTTGTCTCCTTCCCACAGCCCTTCTTGTCCCCTTTGGAGAGATAAGAGGGGATTGCTTTGGAATTCTTCCTTCAGTGATGCGTCCTTGGTACGTGAGAGAGGCCCCAGGTTAGGATGGGGCTGTGGCCACTACTCGGTCACTCCCAGACACTGGGCATCCACAGTTTGGACCACTTACCTAAACCTTTTCTGAAATTAGGTGATGTCTAATTCAATAAATAGATATGATGGGGTTGGATCTGTAGGGTCAGCCTGTCACCCTGTATGCTTGTCCTGATGGAGGAGGGCGGGCTGGAAAGGTCTCTGAGGGTGTCTGGGCCTGACAGTATGGGAACGGGGCCCCTTGAAGGGATGTTTGGAGCAGGGGTATTCTATAAAGCCAGGACAAGTGTCCTGGCATCAGGCCCCAGGATGCAGTGAACCAGGGCTGAAGCCACACTGCCGATGGGGCAGGTCTTCATGCTCCCTTGTTCCCAGGAAGGTGGATCCTTCAATCACCTTATTTCTCCAACTACCTGCAACCTGCAGAGCCCTGGGGAGGTGGTGGAAGAGAGCTCTCCAGGACACTCACTTCTAAGCCTCCTTCTCTTCCTTCTCTAATATCCATCAATCTCTGGACCTTACTAATGCCAAGCCAGAAATGAAACTCCCCTCCATCCACTTCTATGGAGAAATGTCATTGAGTTTCTGGGGAGACAGAAATACAAAATGGGAGGGAGGACAGACTCAGGTTATACTGGTGGCCGGAGGGGGAAGGGGCTGCAGAGCAGACTTGGCGACTTCCCCACTCTTACGTCTAACTGTGTGCCCTTGCATTCCAGCACGTGCCTGGAATGCTTCCCCTCTGGAGAAGCACATGCTAGCAGTGTGGACGGAAAGGGATTTTTCTGGGGCCGGTTGGTGGAAGTAAGGGATGGGTGAGGATGCCACCGCTGACTTGGGCGTGCAGGGTACTGCTTAGGTGGTGGACCCTCGAGCACTGACGGGCCTTGGGGGTTTTCAGGAATTTGCCACCTTAACCCGGGAGCTGAGTATGTGTCGAGAGCAGCTTCTAGAGAGGGAGGAAGAGATATCAGAGCTGAAAGCAGAGCGGAATAACACAAGGGTAAGTGGAGTGACCTGGTGTGTGTTTGTGTGTGTGTTCGGGGGGGCTGGGGAGTGAACCCCTTGACCAAGGGAGCAGGCATGGCCAGGGCCATGGCCAGGGCCAACAGTCCCCATGGCCAACAGGGAGGGCCCCAGTCCCTTCCTAACCTTTTCCTGCGTGATGTTCTGGGGTGATGGTCATTTTATTCAACCATCAGTGCTAGACTTTTCACCTGTAGTTGGGGGGGTCATGGGAAGTGCGGGGCCCTGGGAGAGAGGCCAGGGCAGCTAGCCTGGGGCAGGTATTCAACTCGGGCAGTAGCTGTCTACCCACCTGAAAGCATTTCAACATTCTGACAGTGGTCCACATGGCTGTACTCACATCTGCTGGGTGATCGCTGGACCCTGTTTACAGCCCCTGGGGCACAGCCCTTCCTCTCACCCCTCCCCCTTCTCTCTCTCTGCCAGCTGCTTCTGGAACATCTGGAGTGCCTGGTGTCCCGCCATGAGCGGTCACTGAGGATGACTGTGGTGAAGCGTCAGGCTCAGTCTCCTTCGGGGGTTTCTAGTGAGGTGGAGGTGCTGAAGGCTCTCAAGTCGCTGTTTGAACACCACAAGGCCCTGGATGAGAAGGTACCCAGGCTGGCCCACAGCTTCCCCAGCCCTGCATCTAGCCAGGCTTCCCTGGAGCCTCTGAACATCCCTTCTCTGTGATTTCTGTATCCCGTGTTCAGGGGAAACAGCCCTCTAACGTCACAGCTGGCTCCCGCCTACCATTGATCTAATTTTCAGCCCCTCCCGTTAGATCCCCTCTCAGAAGTTTGCCTTGTGCCCAGGCGTCTCCGGCCTCAGGCCAGCGGGGTCCCTATTTCTTTCTCCATCTCCCCTTACCTTGGGCAGGTGCGAGAGCGTCTTCGGGCAGCCCTGGAGAGAGTTACCACCTTGGAAGAGCAGCTGGCAGGTGCCCATCAGCAGGTAAACTGGCTGCCCAACCCCCATCTCTAGACTCTAGCTCCTGAAAGCCAAGGCTGGCTTAACCCTTTCCCTGACTCTGTTACTCATCAGATTTCTCCCCTCTGTCTTGGCTGGAAACTGTTAGCCAAAGCGAGGCATCTCTCTCGGGGAGGTGGGGGCTTGGAAGGGTCTGGAATATGTAGGAGGTTCTCTTCTCTTTGACTCACTGTCCTGGGAACTGTGCCCTGCAGGTGTCGGCCCTGCAGCAGGGGGCAGGGGTTCGGGATGGAGTGGCAGAAGAGGAGGGGACTGTGGAGCTGGATCCGAAATGCCTGTGGAAGGTGAGTCATGGGAGCTGCCTAGCAGGAGGCATCTTACCCTAGACAGAAGGTGGGGGTCCTGCCCTGCCTTCGTTCAGTAGAGCAACTGCTTGAATTGAATCTGGGGCTTTCCCTAATACTGCCATTTCTCTTCTTCCTTCTCTCCCCTGCCCCATCTATAAAGAAATCTATAGATTTTTGTTTTAGTGCCTAACACGTACGCTGCTAAGCACGTAATGTGTTTGTCCACTGCGATTGTTAGGTGCCCTCTAACTCATGTGTCCATCTCGGGCAAGACCACTGCCCTTTCTGAGCCTCTGTTCCCCTAGTCATGCCCCTTTCTAGGTTTCAAGAGGCTGAGGTAGCAGGGAAACTAGAAATGGTTGTTTTTCAAGAGATAACAAGGGTGTTTGGTCATTGCCTGGAGCCAGCTCGTGAAGCCCAGAGGAAGGAGGGGAGTGCTCTGCAACTGGGGGCCGGGCTGTGACCTGCTGTGGTTGTGCTGTCCGTCTTCCCGCCTCCCCAGGGCAGGGCAGGGGAGTGGGGTGCCCTGGGCTCTGATGACTGACTGATGGCTCACTGTCTCTGGAGGACGGCATGGGCCAGGTAGAGGAGCTGCAGGAGCTTCTGGAGAAGCAGAGCTGTGAGCTGAGCCAGGCCCGGGACCGACTGGTCACCCTGACAGCGACCGTGGCTGAACTTGAGGAGGATCTGGGCACAGCCCGCCGGGACCTCATCAAGTCAGAGGAACTGAGCAGCAAGCATCAGCGGGACCTCCGGGAGGTGAGCAAGGGCCTGGGCCAGACCCTCTCTTTCTGGGTGAAGGCATTTGGTGTTGCTGGGTGTCCCAGGTGTAAAGGGGGAGCCAGGCAACGGCTGGAGAGTGTAAGACCGAACACTTGGTGGGGCCCCAGTGTGGGGAGGAGTGGTGGGAAGGGTGGGTGAAGGTCAGAAACTGACAGGGCGATATGGAGGGGAGACAGCCAGCCAGGTGTGGGTGGGGAGGTGCAGACAGGATCGTGGTAGGGAGAAGCTGATGACCTTCCCTCCCATCCTGTCCTCTCCTGCCCAGGCTCTGGCCCAGAAGGAGGACATGGAAGAGCGAATCACCACCCTGGAGAAGCGCTACCTGGCTGCTCAGCGTGAGGCCACATCCATCCATGACCTCAATGACAAACTAGAGAATGAGCTGGCCAATAAGGAGTCCCTGCACCGCCAGGTAACTCCTGCACATGGGGTGGGGGGCGTGGTGCTTGACCCTGGAGGTCCGGATGATCATGCTGGAGCCCTCCCTTGGCCCAGAAGACCTTGAGGTGCTGGCAGGGTCACCTTGGGAAAGGGAAAGTCAGGTGTCTTGGGCAGCCAAGAACCAAGATTGCCCCCTCGCTGCTTCTGACCTGTCACCTTTACTCTGCTGAGGCTGGGGCAGGGATGGGGGAGGCTTCAGGGCTCCCTCTTGACTCTCCTCCCCGCCCCCACTCTGCTAGTGTGAGGAGAAAGCGAGACACCTCCAGGAGCTGCTGGAGGTGGCAGAGCAGAAACTGCAGCAGACTATGCGCAAGGCCGAGACGTTGCCGGAGGTGGAGGCCGAGCTGGCCCAGAGAATTGCAGCTCTCACCAAGGCAAGTAGGCCAGGGACCTGGGAATCTGCCTCTGTTCCCCGTTTCCCACGCTCCTCTGAAGCCAGGCAGTGAGTAGAGACTGGGAGGCACACTGGGCTGGGAGCCAGGAAACTGCTTTTCCCTGCACGACTCTGGGAAACACACTTTGTCGTGTGTCAGATGGGAGAGTTATCCCTGCCCTCATCGCCGCACAGGGCTGTGACAGTCCCAGAAGAAGGGATGTGCAAGTACTTTCAAGAAGTAGAAGAAATTACGTGGGGCGAAGTATTTTGATTATCATTTAAAAATAACCCTTGTGGTTAAAATGGCCTTTTGTTTGTGTCTGGAGTGGAGAAATTAAGACTTTTAATTCTGGAAAGGTGAAATCTGAGAGGAGATGTGATCCAAGTTTATATATCCTTGAAGGGGGTGAGTGTTTAGGTCGAGCATAATTTTTGTTTTGTTTTGTTTTGTTTTGTTTTGTCAAACTGAAGCATTCTATATCTAGGGACCACCCCTGGCTGTTTGAAGGCTGTAGCTTTTGGACAAATAAAAGGGAATATAATTTTATCCAACAGATAGTTAACTTTATGGAGGTGTGCAGGCTGAAAATATCCTAGGTCTGGAAGAACTTTGTAAATGCATGGACATCGACATGTGTTGGTTTATCAAGAGAATTTAGGAGTGTTTGCAGTGGGTCGGGGCTTTCATGGGATCATCATAGCTACTCCCTCAAGCGATGGATAGAAGGAAACCAACATTTAGTAACCATCAGGCCCCAGAACCTCTGGAGAACAGGGTCTGTGCCAGTGTGGCACCCTGGTGGGGGATCTGGGGGTGGAACCTGCAGCCTGGGTATACTTTGGTAGACTCAGGACCAACTTTGTGCCTGCTACTGACTGGCTCTGTGACCTAGGAAAAGTCACTCCCTCCCTAACTGGATATCTGTGTCATTGTCTCTAGGATGATGAGGTTGGGCTTGGTGGCCTCTAAGGCTTTTCAGGCCCCTAGGAATGAAGAGCTGAGCTTAAAGTGAAGCAGAAGACGTTATGTGTGGAACGCTGAGCAGTCAAGTTTAGCATCTCCCAGAACTGACAAGAAGGAGTGGGCTGAAGTGGACTGACGGTCAAGGGAGTCATAGTAGAAGGGCTTCGAGGAGGGATTTCCTGACTGTGAGATATACAATGGTCGGGAATATCTTGTCAGAGGAGACAGTGGAGCGGGGTCTCTGTCTCTGTCTCTGTCATGAACAGAAGGGGAGACCTGTCTACCTGGGCAGGTTTCACAGCAGAGGTGATCACCGTGGCTAGCATTCGCTGAGTGCTTGCTGTGCCCTAAGTGTTTGCCGTGGGTTAGTCCTCGCAGTGGGCATGGGTGCTCTTCTTACAGTTGAGGAGACAAAGGCTTGCAGAGGTTCAGTAACTTGCCTCAGGTCACACAGTGAGGAAGGGATGGAGTCAGGATTTGAACCCAGGAGGTCTGGTTTGGGTCCATGTTCCTAAGTGCAATTCCATCTATCTGGAAGCATAGAGCAAATTTATAGTAATTCATGCTTTCAAGTGCAGTTTTTTTCCAGGAAGTGTGGGGAGAATTTACAGTGTCTAGAGGTACCAACTCTGGGATGTTTCAAGGCTAGCTAGCCCTGGGCAGGAAGGAAGGGGTATAGGGGGGTGGGAGAGGCTGGGAAACCTGGCAGGGGTTGGGGTACTTGGGAAGAAAGCCAATGGTGGTGGCAGTTCTGCTCCAAGATGGTAGGTGGAGGGTTTGGCTTCCTTGGTCCCTGAGGCCCTGATCCCCAAAGACCACCCTGGCACCTAGGTGCATAGGATACATGGCCTGAGCAGGAAGGCGGATGACCTACAGACTGCACTGACCCATTCCTGCCTCCAGGCTGAAGAACGACACGGCAACATTGAGGAGCACCTGCGGCAGCTGGAGGGCCAGCTGGAGGAGAAGAACCAGGAGCTGGCTAGGGTGAGGGCACCAGGCTGGACTCTCAGGCCCCTCTCTCTGCCTCAGGGCAGGCATCCCAGGATGGTCTCTGGACAAGGAAAGGAGGAGGAGCTGGGGAAGGACCTGGCTAGGGACAGAGACAGAGCCACAAAGAGGTGGGAGGAGATGGTCAGGAGAGCTGAAGAGAGGGCCCCCCACCTCGAGGATGAGAAGGGGACAGGCGAATGGGATGGAACCACAGCAGGAATGGGTGGCTCCCTTGGACTGTGGGAGATGGCCCTGGGGTGGCCTGGTGCGAGGTGGGCTGGCTCTGCAGGTGCGCCAGCGGGAGAAGATGAACGAGGACCACAACAAGCGGCTGTCGGACACCGTGGACCGGCTGCTTAGCGAGTCCAACGAGCGCCTGCAGCTCCACCTAAAGGAGCGCATGGCAGCCCTGGAGGAGAAGGTGCGGTGGGTGGTCGGGCTCCTGGGCGGGGCTGCCAGGAGGGGCGGAGCTGGTGGGAGGGGGCGGGGCCGGCGGCGGTGTGGGTGGAGTCGGGTTGGGATGTGAGAGGAGAGTCGGCGTGGGGGCGGGGCTGGGGCGTGGGCGGGGCGAGGCGGGACTGTGGGGCGGGAGGAGCAGCCTGGGCTGTGGGTGGGGCAGCCGGCAAGGGAAGGTGGGGCCGGGGAAGCAGGCCGGAGGGCAGGTAGTGCTGGGACGGGATGGGGCGGCCTGAGCTGGAGCAGAGGAGTCGGGCGGGCGGTGTTCTTGGCTCACAGCTGTTCTCCCCCAGAACACGTTGATCCAGGAGCTGGAGAGCTCCCAGCGGCAGATTGAAGAGCAGCACCACCACAAGGTACCCCGCTGCTGGCCAGCCCTGCTAGCCTGGGGTGCTGAACGCGCTGCGAGGAAAGAGCACGCCCCGTTTCATGCAGCGTCTCCGATAGCCAGCACCGTCCCGGGCAGTTGATTGTCCAGGCACATACCTCACGTCACAGTAGATACATCGCCACCTGCCTGCAACGCAGAAACTAAGCCCTAAGCATAGGGCAGAGCGGGTAGCTGAGGGGCAGGGCCCGGGGAAGGACCCAGCAAAGGGGTTTGGTGAGGCCTCATACCTGGTGAGGCAAGAGTCCAGTGACTTGGGGAGGATAAGCCCCAGCCTCTGCCCCAGCAATGTCTGTGAGGTTCGGAGTTCACGGGGCCCCTCTGCTGCCCAGCCTTGTTTGCCACGCGTCTGTGTGGTAGTGAGGGCTCGGCAGGCCCGTCTGGTAGAGTCCTTCCAGACAGACCCTTCTTCTGGCCCTGCCCTAACCACCCTTCTGCTCACTTTCCAATTGGACCTCTTCTCTTGGTGTCATCTGTGGGGTTGATCTCGGGCCCCTGGCTTTGGACTTTGCAGTGCATTCTTTTGCTCCTCCCCAACTCTGCTGTCCTCTTTGTCCTCTTCTCCCCTCTCTTCCCCTCCCTCACCCCGACCTCCACCCTGGGTCTGCCTGGCACAGGGGCGCCTGTCTGAAGAGATTGAGAAGCTGCGCCAAGAGGTGGACCAGCTGAAAGGTCGAGGAGGGCCGTTCGTGGACGGCATCCACTCCAGGTACTGGAGCGCAGGAGGCTAGGCACGCTGGGATGGGGTCCTGGATGGACCTGGATGGACCCTGAGGAAGGAGACTTCCTCCCACCAAAAGACCACCTAGGACCTCAGGGTCTTTCTCCTATTCAGAGTGGGATGCTGAAGCTTAGAGACCTTGGTAAAGTCATCCAGCTCGCTTGGGCAGTTAAGAAGGGAGCACCTGTCCCCTGATGGATGCTGAGAGGCAGGTAAAGCACGGGATGTTCCTTCCCGAGTGCCATGGAGCACAGGCTGTGATTCCTGCTTCCTTGACAGAGGGCTCGTCCTTGAGAGGGGTCTGCTGAGTTACATGCTCACCTGTGTCCCGCCGGCCCTGCTCACAGAAGAGTGTCTAATCATTCTGGTTCTTTTGAGACACCATCTCTGGGGCTCTGGAGGATCTCTGAAATTCGAGGACCGCCTAGGTTCAGGGAGCAGGCAGTAAGCAGAAAGGCAGCAGGAGAGATTGAAATGAGACGTTAAGAACGTCCTCACTGTTGGGGGTTGAGATGCCTTGTTACTCATACTGTTAAGGCGTCTTTTCCTGAAAACATTTCAAGAGATGGTGAGCGGAGCCTTCTACCTAATGCTTGAATTAGGCCTATGTTTTAGAGAACTTCTGGCCTTTTCTTTATATTTTTGAAGCAACTGGCATTGAACTCAGACCTCAAGCCTCCCCTCAGTTCTCTGCCCAGAGAGGCAGGGCGACAGTCCAGAAGACCGAAGTGGATGATGCCACTCAAGGCTCATGGCTCCTGGATGTTTTCCATCCCAGCCAAAGTCTCTTTGGTCAGAACTCGTAAGGTTCCCTCTGGTCGTCCTTCTGCTATGTCAGAGAAGCAGGGCATCGGCTTCCTTGAATTGAGGCTAAAGGGAGTGTGTGTAAGTGTATGTGCGGAGGGGTAGGGCTTAAATTAGGGAGAAGGATGTGGAGTTTGAAGAAGAGAAGCTGTGGGGCTTTTGGGGTGGTAGAGACTTAAGTGTCACCTTTGAGTTTACTAGGAATTGTTATATAAGAGCATGGAGAGACACAGGGAATAGAGACAGAAAATGGTAATTGGAATTCCTCCTACTTTCTTCCTTCCAGTAGGTGGTTCAGCAGAGACCAGCCTCCCCAGTTAATAAGACATGGCCCAGAGTACACCGAGCTCTTTGCCACTGCTTGCTTTCCGTAATGGTTGGGAATTCTTGGCTTTTGCTATGGAAGCAGTGGCCCCATCATGGAACCGGGACTGAGCTGCCGGGGAGAAGAGGAGGCTAAGCAGAAACTCCCCTCGTCCTACAGAGGCCTTGTGTGATTTGTCATGGGCTCACCCTGTCCCTTTGCTGTGGGCTTCCTCAAGTTCACACTAACCTGGGAAGGCACAGGGAAGGAAAAACAGTAGAGGAGGCTTGCAGATAGTCTATAGGATCATTGCTGTGGTCCTGAAAGTTCAGGGTTGGGATGGATAGACCCTTGGGGCAGTCCACGTGCTTTCTCTTACAGCGTCAGGACCTCTGGAAGCTTCCTAGGTATAGAGTGTGCCTGGGTTGAACTCTGGCCAGGGATTCAGTCCAGATTCTAGGGAGACCAGAGAATCTGGTCTGGGGGAGAAGACCAAGAAACTGGACCCTCAAAGTTAAAAGGACCTTTAGAGACCATCCCTCCCAACCTCCTTCAGGGCTGCACACACCCTCCCCGCACCATTCTTGTCAGATGGCCAGGGAGCCTGTCTGAATACCTCTTTGATGGGGAGCTCAGCTTTCTTAAAGCCACCAGTTGCATTATAAGCCAACTCCTGCCATTTGAAGGTGCTTCATGTGTTAAATGGAAAGCTGCCTCCCTAAAACTTTCTCCCCGGGATCATTCTGATCCCTGGAGCACCAGAGAATAAACCTAATCTCTTGCTCACATGGCAGCCCTTAAATCACTTAGAAAAGCTTGTGTCCTGCTAGGATTTCTCCTCTCCAAGCTAAAGATCTCTTAACTCCTTGGGCCCAATAGGTATAAGCCAGGGCTCTCGGTCCTCAGGGCTGGTCTTTTCTCCCCTCCCACTCAAGGACACACGTAGTCAGTGCAGCGGATGTGGGGTTCTCCCTGAGCACCAGCACCCACGCACCTCAAGGTCTGCATCGTTGCTACCCAGCACTGCGGGAAGAGCCTGCCAAGGTGAGGGGGCGGAGGGCTGAATACGGACGGGTCTCCCCTGGGGAGTTTGAGGTCAGTTCAGCCCCGTGCCTGGCTCCAGTTTCACAGACGGCTGGTGTGTGGCGCAAGTCCTCCCCCCGCCCTCCCCCGTGTCAGTGACAGCTGCAGCCCTGGGGTTGGGGCCATCACCAGCCAACAGCTGCTCCCTGCTTCTCCTCCGCCTCCCCGTGGGCAAGAAGTAGGGGCTGGCGGGTAGCCAGCCAGTCCCTGAGGCCCCGCTGGAGCGTGTGCGGGTGTGCCTGGGTGTGCAGCCACGTGTTTCTGGTGGTCAGGGCGGGGGATGCAGGGGCAAGGTGGAATTGGCCAGCTTTCTGGAACAAACGCTGTGGTTTATGGGGGAGATGAGGGAGGGATGACAGGTTAACTGGCCCTTGGGATGGCACTTAAAAGTTTTCTGAGAAGCAGCTGTGAGTTCACGTGGAGTCTGCCTAGGGAGATTGTTAGGGAACAGGAAAGATTAGAGGCAGAAAAGGACCGACTTCAGTCTTCCGGGGAGAAGTCTGATTCCTTCCTCGCCCTGTAATTGTTAACCACGCTCTGTCTTGAGCCCAGGGCCTCTGCATTTTCTAGGGCACTAGAAGATTTAGGCAGAGAACGAGGGAACCCCTGGTCTGATGGCGGAGTCGAAGTCTGAAGTCACCTCTTTTTCTCTCTCCCCTCTCCCCTTTCCTCTTTCTTTTGATAAGAATACAAGAGCTGCCCGGGAGCTCAGTCTAAAGGCTACAGGGGCTGGAAAAGAGCCCCAAGAGGAACTTGGGGATGTGGGTTACGGAGGGTGGGGCTAGAGGTGGGCTCTTTCCTGTCCTTTCCCTGCTCTTCTCGCTCTCCCAGTCCAGTTCTGCGCTCTTTCCTCTTCTGGGCCTGTGTCTGCCAGAGGGGTTTGTAGAATGATTTCTGAGAAACTGCTTCCCCTCAGGGTTGACCAGAAGGTCCTGCCATGTGCTGAAACTGTGCAACACAAGACAGTCCAGCCTGCTCGGCTGTTTTTTGTTTCCTACATCTGGTCATCTTTTGTATTGGTAGACATGGATCCCCTTTATATAGTGCTTTCTTGCTTCCAGGCACTGTGCTAAGTGCCTTGCATGCGTTTCCTAATTAAGTCCTCATAGCTACCTATGAGGTAGGTACTGCCACTATTCCCATTTCACAGACGAAGAAACTGAGGCACAGAGCTGGAACAACTCTCCCACGGCTGCTCAGCTGGTATTTGATGGAGCCTGGGATTCAAAGCAAGGCAGTCCCAGGAATCTGTTCCTCACCATTTGGCTATCTGGCTCCTTGAGTTAGAGAAGTATTCATTAGACTTGAACGCACAAGTCAGTTACCCAGGGAGCTTGTTAAAAGGCAGAGTCTGAATCAGTAGGTGTGGAACGGGGCCTGTGATTTTGCATTTGTAACGAGCTCCCAGAAGGTGCCAGTGCTGCCGGTGTAGGTGGGGAGGGTCCTGCCCCTTAGCCCTCCGGTGTGTCTTATTACTCATCCGCTGCCTGCCTTCTCTGCCAAGGACTGGGAGCCGTCTCCACTGCCTGGGGTGCTGGTCCCCACAGCCACCGCTGCATTTGAGAGTGACCCTGAGATCTCTGACGAGGACTTGCAGGGGGGTCTTCTGCGTTCCATGGATGCCGTCTCCCCCAGCAGCCACTCAGACGCCCAGACGCTGGCCATGATGCTGCAGGAGCAGCTGGACGCCATCAACGAGGAGATCAGGTCAGGGCAGGGGCGGCGGCCTGCGCGGTGCCTGGGCGGCCGGGGCCCTCTGAGTGTGGGTACTGCCGGCGAGTTCTGCATGGGCGTTTGCTTGTCTTTCGGAGTGCCCCAGGCCTGGGACCTGTGCGGGGCATCATCAGTCAGGCAAGATCCTGGCCCAGTACTGGACAGGGAGGGGCAGGGCCTCTGACCGACTTCTCAAGCTTCACTTTCCTTCCCAGAGCTTTGGGGGCTGTGTTCCTGAAGCTCCGGCAGCTGAACAGAATTACTAGGAGTGTAGCCCCCACGTACTGAAGCCAACTCCGAGTGAGGGCTTTATAAATGCTACCGTCAGTCATACCCGAGTCACTGGGGGAGACAGCGTTATTTCCATTCTATAGAAAAGGAAGCAGCAACCAGAGAGATTAAGTGATTTGCCCAAAGCAACGCAGTAAGTGGCAGAGCCAGGATTCAAACTCGGGTCTAAACTCAATCCACTGCGCCATGCCTCCTGTCCCTAAAGAGGCATCAAACAGAAACCAATGTCAGGGAAGGTTATCAAGACCTGCACTTTGCTCTGCCTTTATAGAGAGTTTCTTAATGTTCGTGACAAACAGCCAGGGAAAAGCCAAACCAGAGAACATCAAAGATTTGCGGGGCCAGGCAGGCCATCTGGTTCAGTGATTTCCACACTTCTGGATTTCACAGACCAGCCAATAAGAAAATGCTACACATGCACGCACGCACGCGCCCAGAAGGGGACTAACCCATAGGACTGCCAACTTTCATTCTGTAAAATAAAACATTAAAGATAATTACCATTTCCTGTCGCAACCATTCTACAAAAGAAAGGACATTTTAACATCCCTAAAATTGGAAAGATGTGCTCTCAGAGTAAAGGCAAGTTCTGCTCCTAAAGGACAACTTTACGTCAGCGCGTGTGTGTGAGTGTGCGTACACACACTCGTCTCTGAGTACCTTCCGCAAACACACAACGCTATCACTGTTGTTCTAAATCTTCCATGGAACAGGGGAAACTCCATCAGGGGGCAGCATCAGTTAAAGGCCCTGTGTTTGGGAACCACTGACTTAGATCCCTCCTGACGTTGAGTAGATTGGGGAACTGAGGCCAGAGAGAGCGGTCACCCCTGTACTTAGTGGTGGGTCAAGGATTCTGACTTCTAGGAAGGTTTATATTCCACTGACTAAGTTGCCTCCTTTCCCAGCAACTGCTTTTGTTAAACTAGGGAGTTTTGTTGGAGTAGGCCAGCTAACAAGAAAGAGAGAAAGTTTTCTAAGCTGCAGTGGGATAGAACCAGCTCTGGCCACCAGGCCTTGTTTGTCCTGCCAGTGCCAGAAGCAGCAGGGTGCAGCTGGGCATGCCTTCCGCCTGGGGCCACCCACCGGGTACTGAACACAGCCGTGCCCACACCTGCCTGCCTCCTGGCTCAGGGCCGGGTGGCCAAGCGTCCCGGGTGAGGAAGGAGGAGAAGTCTCACGTCTTACGGTGGCTTTTTCCTCTCGGTTCTCGTCCCCTAAACACACTACGTTATCACTGTTACTCTAACTTTTCTGCGGCTAGTGGTGATTCCCGGTTTTGCCCGCCTCCCAGGATGATCCAGGAGGAAAAGGAGTCCACGGAGCTCCGTGCCGAGGAGATTGAGACGCGAGTGACGAGTGGCAGCATGGAGGCCCTGAACCTGACCCAGCTGCGCAAGCGTGGCTCTATCCCCACCTCTCTGACTGCCCTGTCCCTGGCCAGCGCGTCGCCTCCACTCAGCGGCCGCTCCGCACCGAAGCTGACTTCCCGCAGCGCTGCCCAGGACCTGGACCGAATGGGGGTCATGACCCTGGTGAGAGTCTTGGGGCAGTTGATGAACAACCCTGCCGTCCCTGGGCTCTGCTTCCGGGTTGGCCGAGGGGAGCTGACAAAGCACAGCAGGGCTCACTCCCCGCTGGGCCCCGGCATCTTCTTGTCACTATGTGTGCAGACCCCAGCGCGTCAGGCCGCCTACAGTGTCCTTCTGGGTTTGGAGAGGGCTGTGCAGTGTGCTCCTTACCCGCTCCCTTGGATAATGTTTAAGAAACACACCCAAAGCCCCCACCTCTTTCTCTTTTCCAGAGGTAGCCCTGATTTGCTTTTTCAGGCCGGCTTTTTTGTTTTCTGCTGTGATATTTCTCTCCAGGGCTGTGTGAGGCACTGACTTGTATCTCCTCATCCTAAAACCACTGGGCTCCCCTTGGGGGTAGACATCCGAGGGGTGAGTCCAAGCTCACCCTTCACTCTCTCTTCCAGCCCAGTGATTTAAGAAAGCATAGGAGGAAGCTGCTGGTGAGTCCTGCCTGATGACCCAGGTACTAAGGTTAATTCTCCCAGGCCCTTCCCTTTGGGCTTCTCCCCCTGGGCCCTTGAGTCTGAGCCTGAGCTCCGAGAGAGGCCGCAGGGCCTCCCCTCTGCACCTCTCCGTGATCCTCTGCCTGTCTGGGCGGGGGAGGCAGGCCCCAGATCGCTCCCTCTATCCCCTGACGGCCCCACTGTCTGTTCAGTCACCAGTGTCTCGGGAAGAGAACCGAGAGGATAAAGCCACCATAAAATGTGAGACTTCTCCTCCTTCCTCACCCAGGACGCTGCAGCTAGAGAAGCTTGGCCACCCAGCCCTGAGCCAGGAAGAAGGCAAGAGGTAAATGGACCAGACCCCACCTCGAGACTCTCTGCCCCCCGGTTTATCTTGTCCCTCTCTCTGCCTCTGAACAGGCTGCATCTCACCTGTCCCAGGTGTCCGAACATCCCACTTCTCTTTGAAACACCGTCAGGGAAGGACACTCCCCTTGTCTCCTTTGGTCACTTTGGTCATACCCCTTACCCTCCCAACTCTGACACTTACTGCCAGTTCTTCCTGAAGTCTAACTCCCATCTCTCCTGCTGTAATTTATATCTCTCTCTTCTCATTCCACCCTCTCCTGGCTGTCATCCTGTAGTGCTTTGGAGGATCCGGGCAGCAACCCCAGCAGCAGCAACAGCAGCCAGGACTCCTTGCACAAGGGCGCCAAGCGCAAGGGCATCAGATCCTCCATCGGCCGCCTGTTTGGGAAGAAGGAGAAGGGCAGGCTGACCCAGCTGAGCCGGGACGGAGCCGTGGGCCATGGTCTCTGTCCACTCCTAGTGCATGGGTGCGAGTAGGGGACAGAAGCTGGAGGGTGTCCTTGCATCCGGTCTTCTCTGCCTCCCTCCCAGAGACCAACAGGCAGAAGCCACAGACACACAGATGTAAACACTGGAGAAGCGGTTTTCTGTTAGAGCTATTTCATGGTGGGAAGGGCTGTGTTATGAGATGGTAGCTCCCGCCAGGGGAAGTGTCAGGCATCAGATGAATGGCTGATTTACTTAGGATGCTGAGGACTTCCTGTCTGGAGTATGAGGTTGGACCTCTGACGTTTCTTCCAATTTGGAGATTTTTCTGATGTACTGTGCTCAGGACCTTGTGGAGAAATTTCTTGGTTCTTTCTCTAGGAAATTCAGTTCTTCATTAGAACTTATCCCTGATATATCTTGCCTCCAGGACTCAGAATCTCATGATGCCTAATTAGGGCTTTGTGGACACTGTATGTAAGTAAGTGCTTGGGCCAGGGTAGAATTATTACCACCTCCATGGTAACGTCCGGTTCTGGTGCGTGCCTGGCGTGTGGTAGGTGCACGACAAATGTTAGCTGTCTTCCTCTCCCTTCCCCTTTTCCCTCTTTCCTTTCTTCCTTCCCTCCTTCCTCCTTCTCTTTCCCTCATCTCTTCAGTTATTTGTTCAACCTTTATTGAGTAGCTGCTACAGACAAGGCTCCGTTGTAGGTGTTGGAGCAGTGGTCCGCTCCTTCGAGGACCTCCGTTTCTAATGAAAAGGGAGATGAAAGGGATGGCCCCAAAGCAGCATCCAGATGACTGATGGTCCTGGGACACTCCCGGAGCTCAGAGACCAGCCATGGAGCGGGCAGTGTGACAGGGGTGGCTTTCTCTGCTTGGCAGCACCTGGGCAGGAGTGTGAAGGCTAAGTAGGAGGTGTGCGTAGGAGGGGAAGGGGAGCCGGGAGCTGAGAGAAGGCAGAGGAGGAGTCACGGGCGCTAGAGTTGTGTGTGCAGTTGAGACTATTCAGAGTGGAGAAGAAAGGGGGTGGGAGGAGCAGAAGAGGTGGCTTTAGCCCCTAGGCCAGGGCTCTTAAAGGTCTTGCAAAATGCATGGTGGAGCCGGCCACAGATGGGAGGGGGCAGGGCTGAGAAGGTCTGATCAGTGGAAGGGGCATTTTGTATGAAGCCTTATGATTGATTTCCTGTGGTCCCACACTACATGGGCATGTAACCCTGAGACAGCATTTCAGGTGGGTTTCTGGATCACCGGCAGCCACTGCCCTCTGTGCACTGTGAGTAGTGACTGGGACTTAAAAGAATCCTAAAATGCTGCTCCTGTCATGCACTGTATAGGGTCCTGGCATCAGTTCGGGAGACCCTTAATAGAGGAGGCCAGAGCGTGCCTGTTTCCCCACCCGCAACCCAGGTCAGGATGATCCTGTCTGAGCCTCGTAGCCCACTCTGGCTCTGTGGTTTTCCTTTGCACCTTGGTTTGGAGGAGGGACAAGTTCTGTCTAGGATTTTGCTGCCATTAGGATGGAACAAGTTGGGTGCATTTGGGCTGGAAAATACTTCCAGGGCTGAGGCTCCCAGGGGGAGACTCTCTGGGCTTGGGGTGACCCACTCGATGCCACTGCGGGACTCCCTGGATGCGGGGATATCGAGCAGAGGCTCCAGGAATAATGTGTGGTCCCATCAGACGCTCTTGGGTTGTCGTGCCTCGGGGCCTCCTGCTGGTCCGCTCCCCAGGCCTGGCCCAGGCCAAGAGAGGAGGAGCAAAAGGGCTGACAGGCCATCTCTTCCCTTCCAGTTGTGCTGACAGACTCCGAGCTTGGTCTGCAGGAGCCCATGGTGCCTGCCAAGCTGGGAACCCAGGCAGAGAAGGACCGGCGGCTGAGGAAGAAGTGAGAGCCCCGCCCTGCACCCACTATCTCTCCCCTGGACTGTCGTGGGGCTGAGCTCAGGCAGCAAGCCCCAGCAAGGCCCTTCCTGAACTGAGCTGGCCTGGTCTAAGTGAGCCCGGCAGGGGCTGGGAGGCTGTCCTTAGGATGACCCAAGGGGGGAGGAGGCCAGGGTGCTGTAGGACAGTGGCCGAGCACCCGGGGATCCCTGGCAGAGCAGACTGAGATGTCTGTGTATCAGGCCATGTGCAAACAAAAGTCAGAGCCCCTCACCTCTGGGAATGGAGAGTTGTTACTGCCTCATGTCTTGGTGTCACACTGCTTCAGGCATAGGGCAGAGGTGACAGTCCAATGGTGGGGAGCAGGGGTAGAGGGATCCAGCTCCCATGGCCCCAGGGAGTAAGTGTGGTTGAGAAAGAAGGGAGGACCAGGGAGTCTGTTGTTCCTCTTCCTGCAAGACACCAGCTGCTTGAAGATGCCCGCAGAAAAGGAACGCCCTTCGCCCAGTGGGACGGCCCTACTGTGGTCTCGTGGCTGGAGGTAAACTAAGGCAAAAGGAGTCTAAGTCCACTCGGGGGTCTGGTGGGAAGGACGTGTGGATTGGGGCAAGGACTCCTTGGGCAGAAGGGTGGTGGTCCCTAGAATTTTCCCAGCACGCTTCTCCCTTGCCAAGTGCACATGTGCCCTCCCGAGCATCGTGGCCACCCTCCAGTCACTTTGGAGGAAGAACTGATGCCACTTACTGTTGCTTGTCAGGTAAATAAGTCTGGCTAAGGAGAACTGATCGACACTGAGCCATAAGACTTTCGCGGGCAGTTTCACTCTTCCTACGTAGCTGCCCGCAGGAGCCAGTCACCCCTGTGATGTTGGTGTTATCCCTTCACCTTCCCAGGCCTCAGATTTTTCATCTGTAAAATGGAGAAAAGAGGCATTTGGTGATGCTCATCTCCACGTCTCTAAATTCCTGTGCTCTGCATTTGCTGTCCTGAGGCCATGCACGAGGCCTGCTCCTTGCCCCTCAGGACAGCCAGGCTCTTGGCAGTGGAGCCCAGAGGAAGGAGCGGGATTTACCCTGTGTGCCCCGTGTCTGCAGCTCTGGGTGGGGATGCCTGCCTGGTACGTGGCCGCCTGCCGGGCCAATGTCAAGAGCGGCGCCATCATGTCAGCCCTGTCGGACACGGAGATCCAGCGGGAGATCGGCATCAGCAACGCGCTGCACCGGCTCAAGCTCCGGCTGGCCATCCGGGAGATGGTGTCGCTGACCAGCCCCTCTGCCCCGCCCACCTCCAGGACTGTGAGTGGCCTCTCCCTCACCCAGGGCACTTCCAGAGCCCCAGAATAGTGTTTACAGAGTCTCACATGGGTCTTCGGGAAGATGGTGGCATTGGGACCTGCCCCTTACTTCCCGTCCCCACAGAGAGCTCCATCTGGTCTCCAGGAGGAGGTAACACTGATGCTGGGAGGCTCCCAGCAGGCCGAGCTCCCTGCCTCCTGCATACCACCTCTCTGTCGCTACTCTGCCAATAATTCCAGATCTTTGGGCAGAGTTTCCAGGACAGGACTTCTGGGGTTCTGTGTTGTGGCCAGACTGGAGGAAGCAGAGCGAGGAGGGCATTTGTAAATTCTGGTCCTCCAGCTTCTCCACGAGAGTGTAAACCACTCCATGGACCCCCATTGCTGAATGTAGTCCATCTCGGTGATTCGGGTCAGCCCTTAGGCCAGCTTCATACCATTCATTCGTATTGGTTCAGGAAACATTTGTTGAGTACTTCTGTGTGCCAGGCCCTGGACTGCGCAGAGCAGATACAGTGATGAAAGAGAGTTGCTCGAACGACACAGTGTGTGGAGCTGTGGGCTGGGCCTGTGGGAGGACTCTGGGGAAGGGAGCTCTGTCCTGTCCTTGGGGCTCCCAGCCTGATGGGGATCCAGCTAGGTTTCCTCTCTGCCTACAGTCTTCTGGGAACGTCTGGGTCACCCACGAAGAGATGGAAACTCTGGCAACGTCCACTAAAACAGTGAGTCGGGCCGTGGGTCCTGGGCCCGGGGTCAGGGCTGAAAACTTGCAGGAGGACGCGGGGAAGGTTGTGGGAAGTCACAGGGGGTTGCAGCTGATCTAGCATGTAGGATGGGGGTCTGTTCTTGGGGTGGTGGGTTGGTGGGAAAGAAGTGAGACTGAGAACAGTTTGTGTGTAGGGGGCGGAGGAAGGCTCCATTCCAGGGGGTCGCAAGCTCACCCTAGGCGACTGGTATATGCAGTGAAGAAGAGCAGGGCTTGGGGGCCTGAAGCCACAGCATCCTTACCCTTGTGTTTGATCCTTGGTTGGAGGAACAGGGAGGGTTGGGGGAGCCTGGCACCTTGCGCGGCTCCCAGCCAAGTCTGGGGGTATGGAAGTGTGTTTTTGCCACACACACATCTGATCCCGTCTGCTGCAATCACAGGCCTGTGCGTTCTTAACCATCCCGACAAGCTTTCCTTAGTCACCCATCCAGCTGCTGGGGTGTCTGCTCCCTCTTGATGGGGCCTTGAGTGGAGGCTGCCCTGTTTCTTGACTTTGCCTGTTTCCCCCTGACACGCTGCGCTCGTTTCTAGGACAGTGAGGAGGGCAGCTGGGCTCAGGTAAGCCCCCCGGCCGCTTGTCCAGAAGCAGCTCTCGGCAGTTCGGGCAGTGCTCTCCCGGCAGGTCCGCTCCCGCGCAGGACTCTCCGAGCCCCAGTCTTTTAGGTCCCCTTCACACGAGGAGTCCCGGGCATGGGTTCTCTCCTGCGGCTGAAGCCCCCCCCCCCCATGCCCCTTTAGCTGCTTGTGGTTTCTCACCAGGCAGGTCAGGAGCTTGGGGGGCCTGTGCCCAGCATGCCTGCCTCTGGCCCGCAGTTTGACCCTCTTCCCAAGGCTGACGAGACTCAGATTAGTACGCATCCTTCTTCCTCTGCCTGTCCCTCTTAGGGGTGCACCCGGTGACCTGGCTTTCATTCATTCACTTGGTGAGCAGGGTTTTATTGAGCAGCTAGTAGGTGTTAGGTCTTTCTAGGCTCGCTAGATACAGAAGTGACCAAACTAAGCCCTCGTGGGGCTTATATTCTAGGGGAGAGACAGTAAACAAATAAATGGACAACATGCCAATAGATAGAAGTGCCGTGAAGAAAAGTGAAGCCCGGAGCAGCACTGCTGATTCTTACAGGGAGACTCGTCTCATCAGCAGGAGACTGGCCAGACCGGGTGTATTGTGTTCTCACAGCAAAGCACTGTCCCGCAGAGGAAATGGATGACTCTTAGAAGTATAATGTTAAGTGAAAAATAAGTCTCCAAAGGTGTTTCTATTAAAACTAAAAACCAAGCAAATTTAATCATATATTGTGTAGAGAAATATTCATTGGTGATCGTAAGAACTGTAAAAAAAAAACATTTGTTTTTTCAATCAAGGTAATAATGATGGGCAGAAAACCCAGCATGGTGGTTACGTCTAGAGGGGCAGAAGGCATAAAGTGGAGAGGAAGAGCGTGAGGATGGATGGGACACTGGCTCACATGGGTGGTGTCCAGAGCTGTCAGCTTAATTTTTATGCTTAATAATGAACATATGCTACATGTATTTTTATATGTATCAACTCTTTCATTCTAAAAGATAACAAAATAAATTTTTCCATTCTAAAAAAAAAATCAAGAAGGGTAAGGAAAGAGAGTGGTGGAGGGTTACCATTAAAACTCTTCCTAGGATAGAGGGCCAGGGCAGGAGGTGGCATTACCAGAACCAGGCCTCTCAGAACCAGCCTGGGTGGGGGTGGTACATGCAGTGTGTGTGTGGCGGGGGGCAGGAGGGCTGGCGGGAGGGAGCAACACCCAAAGGACCTGGAGAATTTCTGGATAGACAGCCGAGCCTTAGAGAACTGGGTGCTGGCCATGCAGGCACAGGCCACCCATCCTTCTTTTTTTTTTTTTTTTTTGTCCTAGCCAAAACGAAACTCACTTGTGGACTGTGTGAGGCCAGCTTCCCAAGTGAGACTGGCTTTCTTTGCCACTCTGCCGGTTTTCTGTAATGCAGCCTGTCCCCTGGGCTCAGCAGGCTTGAGGCTGACTAAGAGTTAGGAAGGCAAGTCTGTCTTCCAGCACCACAAATGCATTTCAGAGTCGACAGGAAGAATTTCCTGTTATCTGCTGCCTAGGTAGTTGCTTCTGTTCATTAGTGTAGATAATTGATAAGTGAGTGGAGATGTATCATTTCAAGATCTTAAAAAGTTCCATTTAAAATCCCCACCTCCCGCCTCTAATGAAAATAAGCTGGAATGGTACTGAACTGCCGTAGAGGTTGGGGTAATATTTCTCTCAATCAGAGATGCCAGCTGCCACCTGCTGGCACTGCCTTGCCCCCCAGCCTCCTCTGTCTTGTTCCCCAGACCCTGGCCTATGGGGACATGAACCACGAGTGGATTGGGAACGAGTGGCTGCCTAGCCTGGGGCTCCCCCAGTACCGCAGCTACTTCATGGAGTGCCTGGTGGATGCTCGCATGTTGGATCACCTTACCAAGAAGGACCTGCGGGTCCACCTGAAGATGGTGGACAGCTTCCACCGGTGAGCCGGGCTGAAACCCGGGGCCGCCTCCCAACATGGGTCTCCCCAACTCTGGGGGCCTGTCTCGAGGAATAGAGGGTGCCTCCATCTCCTTCCATGCCTGTTCTGGGTGGTAATAGATCTCCCTTTGGGGAAAGCCCAGTCTTTGTCTCCCCTGCAGTTTGAGGGGTTTGGTTCCTCTCATCTCCAACCCTTACAACATAAACAGTCATTTCTCCTTAGCGTCACTTGGAAAATCTTCCCCATTTCTTGTGATTGGACTTGCTGAATTCTCTATGTTTACCCTGCGAAGACTCACACTGAACCCAGCATCTAGTTTAGATGTCTAAGAAAGAAAGGAATTAGACACCTCAAAGAAAATAAGGAAAGTTCTTTCTGGACCCCTGCCCTGCTGGCATCTCAGATCTGAGCCTCTCTTCTCCTTTTTGTTGCAAAGGTCTTCCATGCACAAGTGTCCGCAGTGGAGGTCCTAGACTGGCAGCCTGAGGGCAGAATTTGGCTCACAGATGTATTTTGTTTGGCCTACACGATTTTTTAAAAGAAATTATGACTTTAACTGCCAGTATTTAAACACTAGGGAATGTTGTGCAAAATTCTGGATGTCTGGCTTCTCTTGAAAAACAGAAAACTGTGGACACATCCTAGTGTGGACACAATCAGCGGGAGGTCGAGCGGCAGCCCTCCTAAGACATAGGCCGTCTCCTGGCCCTCCTGCTCCCTCCGGCCTGCCTTCCTGTCTCGAAATACCCGCTTGACCCTAGCTGGCATTTGGGTTGGAGAGTAAGGTGGGTGGTGACAGTTCCAGGAGTTGATGGCTCTTCAGAAGTCCTTTTTAACATCCCAGCTTTGAATCGCGCAGGCTCCTATTGGAGCCTGGCCCTTTGCCTTGGGCGCTTGAGGTGACAGAGGGTGGCACTGGGAGTGTGTCAGGGCTCTGCCCATGTCCCTTGGTCTCTGCAACTCATAAAGCACAGAAAAGGTAAATTTGGAAGGGATCTAGTTAGCCTCTAGATTTTATGGGTGAGGAAACTGAGGCCTAGGATGCGGCAGCAGCTCAGGGTCACTCAGGGATGACAGCAGAAGGCCAGTCTCCTGACCCAAGTCTCGAGCTCTGGAAGCCCCGGCTGTGTCCGGCCTCAGCACCGCCCCTCCCTCACCACTGGGACTGAAAGGGAATCTTTTGTCTCTGTCAGTCTGGGAGGCTGCTGGGCCCAGCTGCACCTGTCCCCTCCGTGGTGATTGATAGGGCTAGGGGGAGAAGGGCTGCCCCTGCCGAGCCGAGATGTGCCGGGGGAGCCAGTGGGTCAGGGCGGCCCAGCCCCACCGAGCGAGACGGAGATCCTCTCCGTGACCCTCTGCCCAGGCCCCAGGAGAGACTCTCGGCCTGTACCTGCGGTTGCAGATTCAGCTCTAAATCTTGGGTACTTCAAAGTTGATAAAGCATTTCCACATTCCTGACCTCAATTATGTATAAAACTGCTTTTACTCCACTTGATATTTCACAAGCACATTTCTAGATCTTTAAGAAGTCTTTAAAATCATAAGCTTTTAATGATGAGAAAAGGATATTTAAAAACTCTCCTTTCATAGACAGGATAAACAATGCCAACGAGATTGAATGTTACCCGGTCACTCAGCCAAGTGCTTACAGGATGGGGCCAACATCCTTCTTTCTTGAGACTTAACTCAGAGTTGTTTTTTTTTTTTTCCTTAGACCATAGTGTTCTGTGGAGCAGGTTTCCATGAGAATCTCCTGTTTTGACAGGAGCACAAACACACACAATAATCAGCAACGTCCTCCTAAAAGGGGCACCGCTGCTGAGTGCCTGTGACATTCCAGGAGCTGGCCTAGCCCTTTCATACACGATCACCTTTCATGTCACAGCAGCCCTGCAAGAGGCATATAAGCCCCTCTCGCCTGTGCTGAGTGCCGCTCAGCTGGGACGTGGCGCCGCTGGCATCAGACCGTTTTCATTACGCTATGCGACAGCTTTGAAAGTCATAGAAACTGGACTGGAAGTTATAGTAAGTGAGATTGAAATTAGAGAGGCGTTTCCAGTTAAGGGGTGTGTGGGCCTCTGCCCCCTCCAGTGGGCCAAGGCTTAAACCAGTGGACAGGGGCCTTGAGCCAGAAAAGAGTTCCTAGAAGTGGTATCTCTGAGCTACAAGAGATTGTTGGAGGCAGATGGGCTACGTGGGTAGACCGAAGGGGAGAGAAGGAGAAGTCGGCATAATTTAATCTCACAAAGCAATTACCTCAATAATGAGGGTCAAAAGCAGTTGGAGTTGAGAGGAACCTTCTTTTCTGTTCCTTCACTTTATAGATAACAAAACCCAGAGAGGCTGAATGACAGTAGTGTTCAAGTTAAGGAAGGACCACAGTGAAAGCTGCCCAAGATGGAATGAGCTGCCTCAGAGGTAGCGAGTTCCCGTCACCAGAGCTGTTCAAGCACAGGTGTTCATAATACTCAGAAGGATGCTACAGAGGTGACTCCTGCATTAGGTGGGAGCTTGGGCTGATAGCCTGTGGGGTCCCTTCTAACCCACAGATTCTCTGGTTCTTGGCCTGGTACTGTTTAAAGTACTTTTAGTACTTTATGTGAATTATTGAATTCATTAATCATTCATGGCATTTACTATGTGTCAGGCACCATTCTAGGGGTTCGAGATATGTCAGTGAACAAAACAAAGCTCCTTGCCCTCATGGAGCTGAAGCTGTAATTGAGAGAAACAGACAAGGAATTGTAAACATATACCATGTTAATAGGTAAGCGGTAGGGAAAAAAAAAAACGAGACCAGTGTGAGGGGGATTGGGAATGTGGGCTGGGGGGGGTGCAGGTGATGTTGCAGCTTTAAATCAGGTGGACAGGGTAACTACTGAACTGAACTTTTGAGCAGAAGCTTAAAGGCGACAAGGAGGTGAGCCATGGAGCAGACCTGGGGCGAGGTGGAGGGTTCCAGGCAGAGGTAACAGCCACTGCAGAGGCCCCACGACATGGGCTGAACGTGCCTGCCATGTTTGAAGAACTGCCGGGCTGTCAGTGTAGGGGCAGATCGCGTGCCATTGTGTAGGCCGTTGTGAGGATGCTGAGCGAAATGGGGATACAAAAGAGTGTCTGTAGGGGTCTTTGTCACTCCAGTGCCTAGGGAGGGACACGTTGCTTTCATTCAAAGAACTTTCCTTCAGTCAATCAGGCCCACGCCCTGGCTGAGAGGGAGGACTTGGGGTCAGCAGAGAGAGGGAAGTGGTCTTGGGTTAGATCATGTCTGAGCCCTGGGGCAAGGAGGAGGCAGAGCGGGCTGGGATGCTCTTTGTGTGGGAGGATGTAGGTCTTGACGTGCTGTGGCTGGTGCTGGATGTGGGGCAGATGGGGCGGGAATGTGGCCCCACTGAGGCTCTGGCTCGGGGTGGGGTGGGGGGCTGTGTGCCCGCAGAACCAGTCTTCAGTATGGGATCATGTGTCTGAAGAGGCTGAATTATGACCGGAAGGAGCTGGAGAAGAGGCGGGAGGAGAGCCAGCATGAGGTCAAGGGTAAGCTTGTCAGGCGCGGTGGGGCCCCTCTGAGAGCAGCTTTGGGGGGCAGGGGTCCGCTCACTGATCCCTGCTTCGGGCTGAGTGGAGGGCGAAGAGGCATTCCGTGCCTCAGGGAAGCTCCAGATCTGAGAGGGAAGACACAGCCCCAACCTTAGGGAGCAGGGAGCTCCTGGTCTGATGGGGGAGACTCAGTCTACGCCCCAAGGATGCCGCCATCTGGTGGAGAAGAAATAGCCCCTGCCCGGTCAGCAGCAGCACCCCCTACCCCCACACCAGACCATGGCCACCGGTGGGACAAATGCAATGAATCCCTCGAGGGTCGTGCTGTAGATTGATGTGGGAAAGTGCTCATGGAACTTGCTGATCTGCATGAGGTTGGACAGGAAAGAGGGGCAAGTCTTAGAAGAGACCTTGAAGGTAGAAAATAAGGCGGCCATTCCCTGCTTGGGGGCAGGGGGTGGCCCGCGCAGGGGCTCTAGGGAAAAAGCCCACTGGCCTGACCCTAAGTCCTGCAGACTGGCAGGAATGGAGTGGTGTGGGCTGCTTCTCCGAGAGCCCTGGTGCCAGGGAGGATGGAGAGAAGACATGGAAAGTTGTGGGGGATTTTTAGGGGTGGGGTAAGAGCCAGAGAACAGGGTAGACTGGGGCTCTGGGTCCAGGAACCTCTATTTCTTTCCGTGGAGAGGCCTTGGCCAAACCTGTCTCTTTCTGCTCCTTTTCACCCCCACCCTCCAGATGTGCTGGTCTGGACCAATGATCAGGTGGTTCACTGGGTCCAGTCTATCGGGCTCCGGGACTACGCAGGAAACCTGCATGAGAGTGGTGTGCACGGTGCTCTGCTGGCCCTGGACGAGAACTTCGACCACAACACGTTGGCCCTGGTCCTCCAGATTCCCACACAGAATACCCAGGTGGGCGTCCCTGTCCTCAGTCTCAGCCTCAGTCTCTTCCTCTCCTCCACTCTCCTGCTCTCTCTCTCCCTCTGATAGGCATATGTTTGTGGATTTGTGGAAGGGCTGTTGGGGGAGCCTGTCCTAGAGGGGATCATAATGTCCTCAAACCTCCAAGTGGTCCCTGTGCATAACCCAGCCTCCTAGGAGACAAAGAGTCCTTCTCAGTACAGAGCACACCCAGCACAGCACCCCGAACACTGTGTTAATCCCCACTTCCTCCCAGCTTTGCAGCTGAGACTCTTTCTCAACCTGCTTTCCTGACCTGACTCTTCTTCGAGGTAAAGTAGCCCTGGCGCCCAGAGGGACCAGAAAACCCATATCTCCTTTGTTTCCCACCCCAGGAATCTGCTCTTGGGTCCTCAGGCTTAAGAAAGCTAAATATACCAAACAGCACAGCCCAGAGCTTCTCCATGCCAGGGCTTTGTCTCCCAGTAAACAGCTCAAAATATCAGACATCTCCTTCCATTACATTTCATAGTTACTATGAAGCTGTCATCTAAGAATATATCTATTTCTCTTGAGCCTATTTATATGTTTGGCCTTTTTAACTTCCTGTGAGTAATGGACTGGAGAAGCACTACCTGCTGTACACAGCACTTCCTGATTTGATTTGTCTTAAATGTACCCCTGGCGGGCCCCCCCTGGGAGAGGGAGGGCCCCATCCTAACTGCCTGTGATTTGGTGGGGACGTTTGTGTTTGACCAGTCCTCACCTCCTGTGATCTCATAAACTCTGTGTCGCCGGGGGGCCCGCGCCTTTGTCCTGCAGACAGAGTGGTCTTAATTCTTTGCAGCCTTTCCTCATATAGACTTGTCTGTGTGCCCTGATCTTTTTAGCTGCCCTTGTCTGGACGGTTCGCAGCTGTCAGATCTTTTTGAAATTCAGCCACCAGAGCTGCACAAGTTATTCTGGGAGCAGACGAGTTTTTGCTTGTGCGAGGGTAGGGCTGGGTTGTCTCGTAATTCTGGGTGTCGTGTTGGCCTCTCGGGGGTCATTGTGTCCTACGGGTTCTTTGCAGTGACCCTCCCAACCAGCCAGAATGGACAGCACGGGTTCCCCTCGTTCTCTAGGGGGAACTGAGATTCCGCCCCCGCCGATGCAGTTTTTCTGTGCCCACCTCCAACCCCACTGGCTGCTTTCCCGCCCACTCACACAGCGTTGTGAGATGTGCCTGACGTTTGTAAATGTCACATTCGCCTTTCACACCCAGAGGAGCCGTGTCACCTGGATGCTTGAAACTCAGCTCTGCTTCTCCGTGCTAATCACTTACGAAAATGTTGTATTCCCAATACCGACAAAGACTGTCCTCACAGAATTCTGTGGTTAATATTTTCCGCCCAAGAACTGGGCTTGTTTTCCTCTCATTTCCTGTCTCTAAATACGCCCAGCTTTTGTGGACAGCAGTACGGTCTGTAAACAGTAGCAGGGCTACGGCTTTGTTGTTTTCTGATCTTTCTTATTTTTCGGACCCATTCATTTAGCTTAGCTCTTAGGGGAAGTAGGATCTGACCCGATATGGAATATTTCATTAAAAATGGTTAAAGGTAGCTGGTGGTGGGGGGAGGGTACAGCTCAGCGGTAGAGCGCATGCCTAGCATGCACCAGGTCCTGGGTTCGATCCCCTGTACCTCCATTAATTAATTAATTAACCTAATTACCTGCCCCCCCCCAATTTCAAACCTTTATTTCTGACATTTCTCATATCTCCTAATGAGTTAAATTCCTGGGAGGCCTAGAGAAGGCCTTTATGTCCCACTCAGCCTAAGGGCCACCAATATCCGTGACTGAGCAGTCTTCCTAAGTTAAATTCTTGACATGGAACCTTATAAAATACATTTATGTAATTGAGATAAGTTAAATATTCGTTATCCATGATCTGCATGCTAATCTACGTCTCCATAAAGGTGGTAAGGCATGATTTTCCCTTACAGACAAATTATGGGGTTTTTCTCCCCCTGGTAGGTGAACCCTGTCTATCCATGTCTTATGTGTTCCTACTTTTTATTTTACCTATTTATTTTTTTAAATTTTATTTTATTGAGTTATAGTCAGTTTACAATGTGTCAATTTCCAGTGTAGAGCACAATTTTTCAGTTATACATCAACATACATATATTCATTGTTGCATACTTTTTCAACGTGAGCTACCACAAGATCTTGTATATATTTCCCTGTGCTATACAGTATAATCTTGTTTATTTATTCTATATATATATATACCTGTCAGTGTCTACAAATTTCGAACTCCCAGTGTGTTCCTACTTTTTAAAAAATTATAGTTTTCTAATTTGCTCTGTGTGAAAAAATCCTAAGGTTTGACTTCAAAGAGGACACCGAGGTTAGCTTGAAGGAGCAGCAGCAGGGCTAATGGGTTAAATGCACCAAAAACCCCATCTCTGCCCTGGGACCCCCCTAGGAAACAGGTGGAAGATGGCATTAGAGGTCATTAATCATAGCCCCTCTGTCCCCTCCCTCTCTTACTCTGTGGACTCCAGGCACGCCAGGTCATGGAGAGAGAATTCAACAACCTGCTGGCCTTGGGCACAGACCGGAAGCTGGATGATGTGAGTGCTTGGCTGTGAATTAGGGACTTTGGGGATTTGGTTGGTTGGTTCATTGGAGTTGATGAGTTCTGGTTTCCCTGGGCTGATGATTGGTGGGGTGGCCTAAAGGAGAGGATCCGTAGAGGATGGGGAGGACCTCAGGGGACTGGGGAGGCAGGGCCAGGCCAGGCCGTGGGTGTGGACAGGTCTCTGAAACTCCTTCCTTGCACAAAAGCTGGAGGCTCCTATGCGTGGCACCTCTAGCATCTTCCAACTCTCTGCCCCAAACCTCTTCACCTCACAGGATCAGAGGTTCCCCCCAAAGGCCATGTCTTTGGGATCATAACCTTTTTCTTTGCCTCTTGGACTCGATCTCTTCAGTTCAGTCAGCGCAGCATGTCTCCACCTATTCCTGAAGTTTTCAACCCACCCAATCATGGAGTTGTTTGGAGGCAGATGCTATTCTGAGGTCACCGAGCGACAGGTTCGCTCACAGGTTCCTCAGTGCGGGTCTGACGCAACTCAACACACTGCTCACTAGCACCCCAGCTTCCTCTCCAGTTTTACTCTTATGTCGACTTTTACACCACGTGAAGGTTTTCCTCTCCACCTGCACTGGTCACTGACGAAACGGTCCCTCCACTGGGCTTCATCAGGCCTCCGCCTTGAGTTTTGTTTGGACGACGTCTGGGAAGACTCTGATCATCTGGCTATAAGTCCCCCGCTTGAAATGCCTCCTAAAACATACGTGTCTCCTGAGGGGACAGCGCCCTCCTCAGCCCCTGCCCTGTCTCCCCCCAGCTCACCTCCCTGTCACCAGCCTGTCAGGCCCGACTTAGCTGCCGTGGCTCCAAACAAGTTAAAAAAAAGAGAACAGACTGTTCATTTTTAGCCTCTCCATCTTCAATCAGATCTGTTTCTGAGCCCCATCTTCTGTGCAGCTTCCCTTTCTTTGCACCTTTCCCCATACCGAGGCCTCTGCTTAGCCCTCCGGTCCTCCCTGTGGGACACCATTAGTGTTACCTGCTTATCCGCTGGTCCCTTCTTAGCTGGGTTTGACAGGGCTACAGCCCACCTCTGTGGAATGACTACTCCGTACTCAGTAGACAGGACACACTCAGGGACTCGCAGAATTTGTAGAGGGGTGATTTCTTCACGGAGGCACCTTGAAATCTGGAGTGTGTTATTTATGTATGCATACACATATATTTCAAACATATTATACACACATATTACGTATGTGTGTGTTCCCGTCAAGGAGGTAAACTTCCAGGTCCCACGAGGTGGTCCCACTCTGAGATCTGAACCTTCCCAGTGCCCCTGCGACGTGGACCCTCCTGCTTACCCCCCACACACCTAGGATCTGAGCTTTCTTCGCTGTATCTTTCCCATCTATCTTAGAGTGGTGCTTTCTAATTTATAAAACTCTTGATTCTTTCAGTCCTTACAAAAATATTCTCTACATGCCTGCTCTGGGCCAGGCATTGGGCAAGGCATGGTGATGCAGTGATGACAGATTTCTTCCTTTATGCTAACAATCATCATGGGAGTCAGGTTATTAACCCATCTTACAGATGAGGGATTGAAGCTCAAGGACATAACTTACCTGCTGTCACAGGCTGATACATGGCAGAGCAAGACTGGAGCAAAAGTATATCTGATTTCTGTGTTCTCCCCACATCCCGCTGCCTCCTAAAAGTGGAGCTGGCTGGCCTGTGAGGCTTCAGACCTTGGGGTGGAGTTATTGAGTAGGTGATGTCATCTTGGCAGCTCAGTGGGATTTCCAGGATGCAGCCAAGTATGGGGCTGGAGAGGACTGATTCTTTAAAAGGAAGCTGAAAGCAGAAAGTCGGGTCCTAGGAATAAGGTGAGACTGGGCGGTTGGGGTGGAGCACAGAGGGGAGGCTGGAGTTTCAGGGGACTGCCTCCTGTCCAGCCACCCAGCACATCACCAGCAGCCTTGAGCTGTCTCTTGCAACTGTTCCTTTGCCAGTTCTGGTTCTCGGTTTCCCCTCTCGAGCTTCAAGGCCCTGGAGAGCTATATCCAGTCCTCTCCCACATGGAGAGCAAACCTCGAGGGAAATGAAGAGATGGGAAACAGAAAGATCACCTATTAGAGGACAGGGGAGGAAAAGAGAAGCAATCCTTAGGGTTGGCTGAAGATGGAAATGGAGAGAGAGGGGGGCGGGGAGAGAGAGAGAGAGATTGAGAACACATGCAGAAGAGAAAGGTCCCTAGACTAGGTTAAGGATAGGATCATAAGGAAGACAGAGATGATGAGGGAATTTCCTGATACACTCAGGGATGGGACACCTGCTTAGGGAGCCACCTGCCATCCATTCACTTAACAAATACTTATTGAGTGCCCATGGCGTTCCCAGGCACTACTCAAGGGCAGGGGATATGTTAGTTGGAACAAAAAAGATTATGATCCCTGTCCCATGAAGCATAGAATTTGAAAGGGGATGGGGGTCCAGAGAGGGGGAGAAAAAAGGAAGAGGGAGAAATGGATGAAATAATCCTGTAAGTACATGTAAAAATGCTACGGCAGAGATACATGATGCTAAGAACTGATAGAGGCATTTGGGTTTTTTGGGGGGGTGGTGGTAATTAGGTTTATTTGTTTATTTATTTTAATGGAGGCACTGGGGATTGAACCCACGACCTTCTGCATGCTAAGCATGTGCTCCACCACTGAGCTCTACCCCACCCCCCGATGGGGGCATTTGGCCTACTAAGGGCACAAGCAGCAAACCCCAGCGGGGCTGGGAGGGGTTGCCGAGGGGAGAAGTGGTGGGTTGGTGTCTCTCCTTCCTGCTGGTAGCCCCCTACCTGTGCCAGTTTCCAAGAACACAGGGGTAGAGGGAGATTAGGCATAGCTGCCAAGAAGAGTGGATGTGGGCTCTGAAGAGAGGGGTGGGAGGCCCGTGCAGAGCGGCATCCTGTAGGGTTACGGCTCTGGGTGCCCTTTGGCACATATTGTTATTTTGGACACTTAGCTGGCATGGGTGAAGGGGCAGGTGGCAGGGGCCTCCTTTGGGGGAGCATTCCTCTGATTGGCCATCTGCCTGACCCATCGCTGTCAATCTTCTCACCTGATCCTGTCAGAGATAGGAGCCTGAGAAATAGGTAGGGCAGATGAGGTAATTCCCCTTTTACATTTACAGACATGGAAACTGAAGCTCAGAGAGGTCCCTTAACCTGCTCAGGTCACACAGCTAGTGTAAATGGAAGCCAGGTCTTCTGACTCCTGACCCAGTGCTCTTCCCCGCAGACCGGGGCTGCAGCCATACTGAGGCCCCAGAAGGGCAGGAAGGAGTGAATGGAGGCGGGCTGGTGACTACTTCCCATGCATGAGGCTGGGAAGAGGAATGCTTTAAAGGTCAATGGGCATCCGAAGCCCAGTTTGAGATGGCTGGGGTGGGCAGGGAAGCCGAATCCAACTGCAGGATGCCAGATTGGGGTGGGGGAGGGGGTGGCGCGCGCGGAGGAGGGGTGAGGTATAGCTCAAGTGGTAGAGCGCATGCTTAGCATGCAGAAGGTCGTGGGTTCAATCCCCAGTACCACCTCTAAAAATAAATAAACCTAGTTACCCCCCAAGATAAAAAACAAGTAATACAATAATAAATAAATAAAACAGTTTTTTAAAAAGCCAGATCCAAACAGAGGGGACCCCACCCAGCCTAGAGTCAGGGAATTTAAGAGTGACAAGGACTCCCCAGAGTCATCCACTTTGCCCCATTCATCTGCCGGAAAGGATTTCCAAAGGGAAAGGTACCCTAGAATCATCAGCCACTGACCGCCCTCACCCAGGCAGGGAGTGAGGGGGGCAATTCCAACCCGGCCCTGGGCCTCTGCGTTGTCCCCACGGTGCAGGGGGAGGACAAGGTGTTCCGACGTGCGCCCTCCTGGCGGAAGCGCTTCCGGCCGCGGGACCAGCACGGGGGCGGCGGCGTGCTCGGCGCCTCGGCCGAGACCCTCCC